ACAGGCTGAGAAACATCAGTTTTGCGACTTTTAGTGAACGGAAGGGCAAGACAACATTTCAAGAGGGCAGCTGAGTAGCACCCAACAAAGAAGCAATGCTTTTCAAGTTAACCTATTTGAATAAATTTAAGACACATTTTGAGACTGTTAATACTAGTTTTAAGATTCTACCTTCCACCCAGACTTTGATAAAGTGAAAGCAGCCAGATTCTGCTCCCTAGAGAGAGCAAAGCTGTGGTGGGAAAGTACTGTACAGCCCTCAATTATGAGCCTGCATCCACACCACTGCCTTTTAAACGAGGTAGTAAGTGTTTGAAACGGCATGGATGGATGTGGGACAGGCAAGTAAGATGAGAGAAATAATTTTATTTTTTTAATCACACCAAAAATGTCTCCACCTGGTTACATATGAGACCATAAAATATCACCAATTACAAGAGCATTTCTCCCCAGGAACCCCATTCCAGAAGGGAAGTAGAAATCCACAAAGGTACTCATTACACTTAATACCTTCATTACCATCTAATTTTTTAGACCACATTATGAACTCCACCATTAAATGCAAGGACTGCAGACCAGTTTCAATTAAGATTATAATCACTTGTTGACATTCAGTCAAACTTCTCAATTTGTTTTGGTTTTAAAAACACAATATAATACTTGTACAGTCTTCAGGCAGGAAAACCATATGTTTCCCCTCTAAGTACAGTTTTAACAATGCACGTTATTCATTGAATGAACCAACCTGCCTGAAAAAAATTAAAAGACAAAATTGAAACCTTCAGTTTTTACGTCCATAACTGATGTTATCATAAGCAATCAGAAGATTACATTACTCCAAAAGTCACGTTCATTTGCCTTAATTCAAAGTGCCAATGTGAAAACTTTAGTCCATCTAATTAACCTCTTCCCGTTTCCCATTTAAAACTAATTATCTTAAACTAGCCATTAAACAATTCTGAATGCAATAAAAAGAGGAATGGCTGCAAAATATTAAATCAGGCGAGAAGGAAATACATGAGTTTACTTCCTTGTAAAAGCAATCACCTCTTCAATTAAAGAAGGAGTAACTTTGCTTTCAGCCTTTGACCTTCCACTGTAGGAGAAGTGACACTTCCACTCCCCTACAGCAGACAAGGTTCACTCTCTGTGTAGAGGAATACCATTTCAGGGGGCTGCGAAACTTTTTCCAGTAGCTATTTAGAAATGGTCTCTGAATTTAGGCCCCTCAACAGACAGAAGAGCAATCACTACAGGTCAACTCGTACTTTGTAAACCACCTGGCAAGCTGTATAACAAAGAGGCAGTTCTCTTGTCAGAGGATTTTTAAGCCAGGTGATTTATTTATTTTTTTTTTTAAACACTGTCACCTGAACAGTTTGCTGTATTTAACTAAAACATACAACCACCTAGCAGGTTTATGATTCACAGTATCAATTAAGTACAAATCAGCAGTAAAGCAAGTTTTCAACTCCTCCATCTTTCACCTCCTTGTTCTCCCCTGGCTAAAGCTCATGCTGGATTCAGACTTTCTTCCTTTTTGCCCTTTGGAGGGAACAGATGAGTCTTCCTGACTCTCAATGACCAAAAACCTGCATGTTGTTGTTTTATCAGAAGACAGCACACCTCTGCAGGCATTTGTTCTGTGCCTCCATAGGAAATGCATGCCTGGGCTCTTCGCCTAGCCCAAGGTAGAATGGAAGACTTTGGGAAAGGAACTCAAACATAACATAACAAAGGAAAAACTCCTGAAGTCCCATGGTGCAGCATGGTTACCACTGAACCATGACCTGGCTGGCTACTGATTTCCAAGTTCATTTCTCTCACAGAAGCTTTCTTTAGAAGTCCTTACACTTTGGATGGGCAATCCGAGGTCTTCAGGGAGAAGCAGGTATCACTCACATCCCTATCTAACCAACGGAAAACTTTCCAAATACTGAAAGTAGAAATAAGATCAGTAACTTCCCCAGCCATACTGGGGGAGTAACAGCCAAATATAGCGAGCCACCCTGTCAAATTACTTGAAAAGGAAGTAAAGACTAGTAGGGCTGGAAACCAGGGATCCTGCTATTAAGTAGTCAGCTACCAGGCTGCACAAAGTTGCGTTACTTTTTCCTAAGCCATATTTAAACAAAACAAAACAAACAAACAAACCAACCCCAGGCTCTAGTCATCAGTCATCATACTGTGTGACCAGAAGGACCAGGATAGAGATCTGAAAGTCAGCAGGGACAGAGGCAAAAGTTAACTAAATGGAACTGTCCTCCTACTACAGAAGGAATGGTTTACTTTGAAGGAGAACAGGGAAAAAAGGCACCACTGTATGTGCTATAATTAAAAGTCCATCAACATAGCACTTAGAGGTGCTCTGTATTCCAATTAAGTTTCAGTTCTGCCATGGAAAACAAAGGGTACAAGACCAGGAGTCAAATCCTGGGGTTTACGCTATCTCAGTTCCTGTAGTTTCATGCAGATTCTGGTACAAGACATGGCTGACCAAATTTCTAAAAAGCAAGCAAATCTGAATTTAAATGAGGTCCTGTATATTTGCAATTTCCCTTATAGAAAGGGAGTGACATGCTGAGCACCTACACCTCAAGAAGGAATATTTAGATATGCATCTTAATTATAAGAATTTGTATTTGCCTTAATACCATTTCCCAGAAAGAGTTGGAAGTGTTAATCTGTTCTCACAGGAAGAATATAAAAACTAAGTTATTTTTAAATAACTGTATAGTTTAATGGAAGCTGTGAAACAAACTGACTCCAAGACTAATTGAACGGAAATAGCTTGCCACAAAAATCTACTTAGCTAATGCAGAAAGGAGTAAACCAAGAATAAAGGAGATGCTTTCAGGAAGTACGACCCTTGAAATTTGCTGAGGCTCTGCAGTCTACAGCAGCAGAGTTTGTTTTGTCTCAAAGAAAGAGATCTATGTGGAGGTGTAATATCACTTAAAAAAAAAAAAGGCAAACAAAAGTCACATGAAAGTGTGAGAACAGTAATAAATCTTTTCATTTTGATTAGAAAAAGGAAGAAACACCATCACTTGCATTTTGAAAACAGTTTCCTCAGCACTAGTGAAACTAAGGTGTTAAAAGTTTAGGTACTCAGCTCCTGTTCTGTAACAAATATACAGTGGTTGTAATTGCATCCATCTTGTGTCTCTTATTCACCCAGATGCATGCAATTCCTCAATTCAAATTGAAATTAAATCCTAGATAGCAGTAACAGCGGAACCCCAGTTCACATAAATGTTAATGCAACTATTATTAAGTGGTCTTCCTTTTATATTACTATAAACTGAGTTTTATTCTTCAGCTACAAAATATCCTATTACCCACAGACA